TTCAAATTAAACTGATTTCACTACTCCAGCCCAGAAATCATAGCATCATGGTAAGAAGTAACAGTATAAAAAGCAATCATAAGAAAATCCAAAAATCCTTAACATTAGCAAGATTGCCCCCAAGGAATTAGATAAAAGCCAGAACAAGATTTATTTAAAAACATAGCAAAGAAAAAACTAAAATGTACATCTTTTGAACATACAAAACAAAACATTTACTTTACAATAGTTCTAGAGTAACATTGTACGATTTTGTTGTATAAAAAATCTAAAACGTAGATATCATGCAAAACATGCACAGAAGGGCCTCTTTCAAAATATCCATATAAAAGAAAATAAAATAGATTCTTCTTCTTTATATTTTTTAATGTTACCTTTTTTATTATTGTTTTTTTTGGGGGGTGGGGGTGATTGTATTATTTGTTAAAACCTCTAAAATTGCAATGTTTAGTTGAAACTTGAAACATATATTGCTCCAACTCTAAAAATATCTTGAAATACCTATGATATCCATATCCATCACATTTTCCGATATGAATATAGAGATATGATCCTATAATGAAATTTCAAATACATGGAAAACCTTTTTTTAAAATGAATATACCCATCTCGAACACATCCACACCTGACCCTCACACCTAAGCCCAGCTGCCAATTAATATAGGTGAAACTGTAGTGGATCAACCAGTGCCAAATTTTCTTATGCTTTACCCTTATTCTCACTTACATGGCTAATTTGTAACTGCATACTATGATGGCATAGGATGTAAAACATGTCTGAACAGACAAGATTTACTAGCCAAGTATAAATTAAAAAGTTTAAATAAAAGCAGTGAAAAGCTACATTTTGAAGTGCAATAGGGGCTGCTTTGGCTTTTGCATATCCAACAACACCATGATAGTTTCCACACGCCAACAAAACGGCGTACTTGACCACTTGCCCTCCCTGGACAATATCAACTTCGGATGTGCTTCATGGAAATCAATTTAACGACAAAACAAATTCAAATGAAATAAACGTCTATCAACCTCATATCAAAACCCTACCATCATTCAACAAAAACCAAGTTAGTTACATGCAAGATGAAACTGTTTGAAAAACAAAAACTTGAAACTTGAAACGATACAATGCAAATATATATCATCAAATGAGTCATACTTGTAATGCTTAAAGTTGTATTAAAAATTAATGTACATACCCATAAAGGAGGGGAGTCAGAACGCAATGAAAACCAATGAATATGTGGATTCACATAATATAGAGAATATGATGAATAAAATTCGGTTGAAGGAAGTTCAATTTCTCAATGTTATAACCTAATTTAATGACAAAAGGGAGTCAAAGAGGAGAACTACAAATACCAGACATGCCTATGAAAAGCATGAATATGAATAATATATATATATAAGAAAATGTAAGAATAATATTAGCTTAGAATTTTGTTCCTCAACCATTTCAAAAATAACTGATTTGTTTGACCTTTGAAGCAAAATAAATGAATGAGCTCTGGTATACACTTACCCTTTTGTAAAGAGGTCTTATTTTCTTTTCTGTCAAAGAATTTCTTTCCTCTGCAAGGTCTCTGATTTCATCCTCTAGCAATTTTCCCTTCCAGCTGAATGTATAATCCAACTCTACTAGATTCTCTTCTAGTTTCTTGTCAATAGCATTGAGCTTCTTTAATAGTATGTTATCCTTTCATGTCATCAAATTCTTCTTTATCCTCATCTCTACTAGTTTTTCTTATTATTTTCTTCTCATTCTCCTCTTTAGCTTCTTCCTCACGATCAACAGAAGGACCAACTTGATAATCCTTCATAATTCCATAATTGGCAGGATTATTAGGATCGTAGGCTTCCTTCCATTGAAGGAGCCTCATTTCCCTATTCAATTTTGGCTTAAGGATAAATTTCTCCTTGCATTCTGTAACTTTAAGTAGATTCATCAAGTCACCAATGGCCCTATATTCAAGGCGAAGTTTAAAATACTTTTCCTCAAACTTATCAATTTTATTCATCCATTTAAAAGCATCATCTAGTGTCATTGTCAAATTCAAAAATGTAATTTAACAATGCACCAATTGATAAAATTTCATAAATATCACTTACAAATCAAAATTTTAGCTGCAATTAATGTATACATGTCAGTTTTGTTTTTTTGTCGATATAAATTTTGAGACGTTCATGAATCCCTGTGGCAATGGAGTTTTTTTTGTTTGAGTGTTTCATTTTTCTTGATAGAGTGTCAAATATTGTCAACTCTAGTGTGTTTGAGTGAAATAAGAATTCTACACAATGTGCACCCATATACATGTTATACTAGCATTAGTAAGCGTAAATAAACAATGCAACAACTAAAACAAGGCTTGTTCATTTACCTGACTCGCAGAAGTTCTTTATCAACTGCTTATGCATATTTTGTTTCCTCTCAAATTAGTTTTCCCACGTCTCCTAATTCCCCTCATCCTCGATTTTGAAATTCGAATCCATGCACTGCTCAAATGCTATACGAAAATTCTTTTCCTGTAACGCCCTCTTTTCAAGCTTCTCTATCAGTGGCATAACACCCATATAATCTTCTTTGTCCTCTTCATCAATATCCTTTTCATCCAAACCTTTTCTCTTCCTATCCTCTTTTTCTTGCTGCTTCTCGAGTTCTATTTCAGCAAATACATCAGCCAGAATATCATCATCACGTAGCTCGTCGGAAGAGAAGTCTCTAGAGAAATGCCATCTCGTAAAAGAAAATGGAGATTTTGGCGTTTGATTGTAGCGGAAATAGGAAAAGTTTGAGACACTTTGACAGAATGAGAAATGTGGTTTAATGGGGGTTTTAGGGATACGATTTGAGTAATGGGTGTTCGGTAAAATATTCGTAGAGATTTCCCATGTAAAAGAAAGCGGAGTTTAATATGGGTATTGAAGGGACTGGAAAAGGAACCTAAACCATGAAGATGGCTGTGATTTCGTTGACATTTTTCTTTTCTATTAGCTTAACAAACGGGAAATATAAACAAACCTGGAAAAAGAAAAATAAGAGAAAATATGAGATAAAGTTTTGCGATCAGGTAGCTTTGAAAAAGAAACGAAGGAGACAGAGCAAGGATTAGTAGGATCGAAAACAGAAAATGCAATATAACAGAGTGAAACAGAGGTAGCGAACCGAGCTAGAACTCCAAATCTGAACACCAAATCGAAGAAGAAGCATATTTTCTTTCAGCCAGAACCAAGCGAGGAGAAAGGTGTTTTAGACAACGGGGACCGGGAATAAGAAAATACCTAAGAGAAATGGGGGACTGATATTCTCGGGAAAACATGAAAAAAATACTACTGTTGGTGTTCATCCTTTACCTGCACTTGGGAATGTAGTCCATCCAAACATGGGTATCATTACCCGTAAAAAAATATTCCTCCCAGGAATAAAATATGACGTGAACCAAAAGGAGCCTTAAAGCTTTGTTTGGATTGGTGGGCTGAATTAAGAATGTTTTGGTCGAAACTTGGTGATTGTTTGGTAAATTGTTCAAAAATGGGAAATAAATCCATAGTTTTGAGCCACATTTGAAGTTGATTTTGAACACCCAAAAGGCCAAAGGCCAATTTGGACTAAATCCATATGGAGATTCCAAGCGTATGCTTTCGGCTAAGTTTCCCGGTCAAAATTTAATTTGTGATTTACGATATTTGTTATAAACGGTTGAACATTATTTGGACAGACTAATCATCTGAATGTGATGAGTTTTTCCTACACTATAAGATTTACCGTAAATTCCAAACTAATTTTGGAAATGATCTAATGGGTTATTTATTACCTGCATAGTTTATTGGGCTAATTTTACCAAATTTCTAGTGTTTATTGTATAATGCAGGCCAATGTTTTTTTGGCCCATTACCCCCAACAGCTAAATTAATTGGCCCAATAGGTTAATCTCGAATTTATTTTATAATCTACGTCAAATATTATAGTACAGGGAAAACTCGTCACACCCACATGATGAATTTATTAAATAATATTTTTTATTTAAACTCGTCACGTCAACATGATGAGTTCCATTAAAATATAATTATTTTATTAGAATTTTATCACATCAAGGTGAAATTTTTGAATAAAAAATATATTTTATTAAAACTTGTCACGTTGACGTGACGATTTCCAAATAATTGTTACAAAATAGATTCTTAAATAATTTACTTTGTGTCGTATTGGACAAAATAATTAGCCCGACTCTAGTATTGGGTCAATTTTGCTGGCAGGCCAATCCAAAGTGTTATTTGAGGAGCCTTTTAAGTGTTTTCATGTTAAATTGAAATTGGTAAATGTTGTGTGTTACTGAACTTAGTAAAACTTAATGTTTGAAATTATTGTTTACAAACCTATTTAATATTTTAATAATAATTTAGGAATAAAATTAAATAATATATTTTTAACATTATTACATTATCAATTTAAAACTTAACTTAAAACTTAACGTTTGAAATTATTGTTTACAAACCTTTTTAATATTTTAACAGTAATTTAGAAATAAAATAAAATATTAATTTTTTAACATTATGACATCATCAATTTAACGGGAATGATGATGGAGAGATCAATTTGTTACTAATCGATAATATTAGTGACCAATATAATATGTTTGGAATATAAGTAGGCAAAATGAAAACTTACTCAAATAGTAATGATTATTTGTGTAATTTACCTTATAAGTTCTATAAAAAAATGCATTTAGTACGCTGTCGTTTTAGGTGTGTTTGTTCTGGACTAGGTGATCGACCGATTTAACAGAATTTTCTTCTCTAATCTCTTTCGTCTACCTTTCTTCCTTTAATTCTTGATAATTTGAAATTCAGCCTTCATTAGAATTGGCTTTTGAATCCTTTTTGGCTGAATTTAGGGTTTGCTTTGATCTGAGTGCAACTCCCTTTTGCTTTGAAGCCTAAAGTTGGAAGATTGAATCCACTTAGTTGAAATAAAGGATTTGGGTTTGTGTTGGAAAAAACCCCCTTTTGTGGTGAATCTTGAGCTTATTTTCTTCCTGGGTTTTATCTCAAATTTCTCGGTTTTGATGCATTTTTCACTTTGGAAATCCATAGCTCACTGTGCTTCTCTGATCTTAGACAAGAAGAGCAAGAAAAGGGATGGGTCTGAATCAGCTGCTGAAACCAAGCAGAACCCTTCAATTATCCGGAAACTCCATGAAAGCAAGCTCAGGGAAGCTCTCGAAGAGGCGTCTGAAGAAGGGTCTTTGTTCAAGTCCCAGAACATTGAACCCGATTCCCTAGCCAATCAAGATAAGAGCTTGGGACGATCAAGATCCCCTGCAAGGCTCAATGCTCATCGCGAATTCTTGCGAGCCACCGCTCTGGCTGCCGAGCGCACATTCGAGAGTGAAGATTCCATCCCTGACGTGCACGAGGCATTCGGTAAGTTCCTTACAATGTACCCAAAGTACCAGTCATCAGAGCAAATTGATCAATTGAGGTCGGATGAGTATTCACATTTGTCACCCACGGTATGCCTTGATTATTGTGGATTCGGGCTTTTCTCTTATATTCAAACTTTGCATTACTGGGAATCCTCTACTTTTAGCTTGTCTGAGATTACTGCAAATTTGAGTAATCATGCACTTTATGGTGGTGCTGAGAAAGGAACTGTGGAGTACGATATAAAGAGTAGTATAATGGATTATTTGAATATTCCTGAGCATGAGTATGGTCTTGTGTTTACTGTAAGTAGAGGGTCCGCGTTTAAGTTGCTGGCTGATTCTTATCCGTTTCAAACGAATAAGAAATTGTTAACGATGTTTGATTACGAGAGTCAGTCGGTGAATTGGATGGCTCAGAGTGCTAGGGAAAAAGGTGCAAAAGTATACAGTTCTTGGTTTAAATGGCCAACTCTTAAACTTTGCTCTGCTGATTTGAGAAAGAGGATTGCAAATAAGAAGAGGAGGAAGAAGGATTGTGCTACTGGTCTTTTCGTTTTTCCAGTGCAGTCTAGAGTTACGGGGGCCAAGTATTCCTACCAGTGGATGGCATTGGCTCAGCAGAACAATTGGCATGTCTTGCTTGATGCTGGTTCATTGGGTCCAAAAGACATGAATTCACTTGGCCTGTCGTTGTTTCGTCCAGATTTCATTATCACATCATTCTATAGAGTGTTTGGATATGATCCAACTGGCTTTGGATGCCTTCTTATAAAGAAATCAGTCATGGGAAGCCTTCAGAACCAGTCTGGATCGACTGGTTCTGGAATGGTGAAGATTACCCCAGAGTATCCTCTCTATCTGAGTGATTCTGTAGATGATCTCGACGGATTGGGTGAGATCGTGGACAATGTAGTTGGTCTGAATGGTGATAAGCCCTCAGAAAACCGTCCAGGAACGCATCTGCCTGCCTTTTCTGGTGCCTACACACCTGCTCAAGTACAGGATGTATTTGAGACGGAAATGGATCTAGATAATAGTACTGACAGAGATGGTGCAAGCAGCATATTTGAAGAAACAGAGAGTATTTCTTTCGGAGAAGTGATGAAAAGCCCCATCTTCAGTGAAGACGAGTCTTTGGACAACTCATTCTGGATTGATTTGGGTCAGAGTCCATTGGGGTCTGATAATGCAGGTCAGTTGAATAAACAGAAAATATCCTCCCCTTTGCCACCATTTTGGTTTAGTGGCAGGGAGAGCCACAAGCTGCTCTCTTCGAAGCCAACATCCAGCCCGATATATGATGATAAAGATCTTTCTCTCAGGCATGACAATCATCATGTGTTATCATTTGATGCTGCCGTTCAATCAGTTTTGCAGGAACCGGATCTCGCGAGGGATATCCCTGGTGAAGCACAATTTGCAAGAACTAGCAACATCCCACAAAATCATAAGAAGGCTTCGGACCGCACACATCTTCTGGAAATCCAGGAAGAACAGGGTACTAGCAAACCACTGTCTGTAGAGTCTGTATCTAATTCTTCTGTCTTTCGGAATAATGGCCTACTACATGACTTAATTTCCTCAGAGATTAAAGACAATGCCATAAGAAGAGAAACGGAAGGCGAATTTCGGTTACTGGGGAGGAGGGAAGGAAATAAGTATAATGGTGGTAGATTTTTAGGGTTAGAAGATGAAGATCCTAGTAGAGGAAGAAGGGTCTCCTTTAGCATAGAGGGTAGTCATAAAGAACACGTGAGTCGTTCTTTGGAGCCAGGAGAAGCATCTGGGACCAGCCTTGATAATGAAGACACCAATAGTGATGGAGAACACGGTGATGGGCAAGATTGGGAAAGGAGGGAGCCTGAGATAACTTGTAGGCATCTTGATCACATTAATATGTTAGGGCTCAATAAAACCACTCTTAGATTACGGTTTTTGATTAATTGGCTTGTAACCTCGTTACTGCAGCTCAAGTTAGCTAATTCAGATGGAGATGGCAGAGTGAATCTTGTTCACATTTATGGCCCAAAAATAAAGTATGAAAGGGGAGCAGCAGTGGCTTTCAATGTGAGGGATCGAAACCAGGGACTCATTAATCCAGAGGTTGTTATGAAGTTAGCTGAAAGGGAAGGTATCTCTCTTGGTATCGGTTTCCTCAATCACATACGAATACTAGATAGTCCACGACAACAACCAGCGGCTTCAAACCTGGAGGATACAGTGCTGTGCAGACCGATGAAAAATGATCAACATAATGGGAAGAGTGGGTTCATTAGAGTTGAAGTCGTTACAGCTTCACTCAGCTTCCTTACTAATTTTGAGGATGTCTATAAGTTGTGGGCCTTTGTGGCAAAGTTCCTTAACCCAGTTTCCATCAGAGAGGGTACACTCCCAACTGTCACAGAAGAATCCGAGACATAACTTCTGAAATTTAGCAATTCAAAATCATTTGCTAAATAATCTGGGAGTCTGACCTGAAGATTAGGAAGTCCCTGGAGAGGATTTGGAGGTACTAGTATATGCAATTCTTGCTCTTCCGCAAGACTCTCGGATCCAAGCAGGTGAATATTTCAACTCATTTTTATTGTTAATTGAAATTTTCTCTTTTGGGGATCGCTCTCATACAGTTAGCTTCAGAAATTTGTATCATTTTGGATGTTACACTGACCTCAAAGCAGTGTACATGGATAGAGCTATTACCACTTAGAACCTATGTTCGATTTTTTTGTACAATTTTCCACATGATTGGAAGGTCTTTTCACTTTTGTAAGTCATATTCACATACCTATGTACATATATGTGTCGGACCTTAGTATTTCAAGAAAAATGAATGGCCGGTATAACATAGCTTATATGTAGCTAAGTTTACCATCTGCGGTATAACATCGAACTTTGGTTATGTTTTGGCGTGAAATTACAAAGAATGAAATTGTTGGGAAATCTCCAGGGCAGATTCTGGTGAGTAAAACATATTTTGTTTGGTGCTGCTAATTGCATGTAAATGATTGCAGATGTCGGAATCCGAATCTTAGGCTCCTTTACAGATGGTTGTATGATGCAAAAGCCCCACCATGAACTTGATAAAGTAATGATGTATGCTTTAGTGGGGTTTTTTTTAAATGAAATTAATAGGTATATACATTGCACATCAAACATCTTTTCATAATTCAAATTTGGTGCTACGAATATGCAAATATTTATTGTGGAGAAGAGAAAAAGATTACGAGATAGTTTTGAATTTAAATTGATTGTGTAATGGGTTAAAACATAAAACTAGAAGAAAATAGGAAAACCAAAGATTTAGAGAAAAAAAGAAGATAGAAATTAGGGAGGAGCAACAAAATTTATGGGTTCGAGCATCCCCTGCAATGGTGATTGAACATTTATTGTCAAGTGATTAAGAGTACTTAAAACAAATATTATTTTATAATCACATTAGCTTAATAAAAAACATTTTTCTACATATCTTTCTAACCTTAAAACATGTTATGTTTATAACCTATTACAATGAGAGCCCAAAAACCTATAGCGCACTAAAATATTCATTAATTTATAAAAGCGATTACAGACCATAGCTTAGAACTTGTTTTGCTTAACTTTTGAAGCTTTGTTTACTGTGATTTTCTTCAACAATGGCTTCTCATCTTGTGGACACCATCACATCAGTCACACTATTTTTTTTTAAAAGTTAGTTCTTGAAAATACTACTTCTACTGATAATCTTCAACTCTGTTTTTCTCTTTGGAAGATAAGTTTTTTTCCGAGAATAAGACCCTTAATTTTAGAACATACTTGATATAAATATCATTTAAAGAAATATGAGATGCAAAATGAGATTTTGGGGTCATAATTTAGCGAACCAAACTATAATAATGGACTCATCACGTTGAAAAATATAAAGTCAAATGATTAAAGTCAATAATCAACTGTCAATGGTTAGGATCAACAGTTAAATCAATTCAAATCAACAAGTAAACGAGTAGCTCAAACTAGATCAGGTCAATGAATAAATGAGTCGGTCAAACTAGGTCAAATCAATGGATAAACATGTTAAACATATTAACGAGTTAGACTAGTAGGTCGGATTTTGGGTCAGACTCAGATAGGGCTTGGTTTAAACTCGAACAAGGGCTGAGTCATTAGACTTAGTTTAGCCTTGGATCATGCCTAGGCTTGGGCTGTGGTAGAGGTGGTTGCCAAACACAATCGGGCCATATTCTCTTGACATGCTTCTAGTTGAACGATTTCGGGTTAGTAAAAAAACTTGGGCTTTCAACTTGAGTCAGGATTTTAACTCGGGATAAAGCATAATTAATCATTTAAAATAAAGAGACAAAGTCAAAATTTTAAAATAAAGATTTAAATTTTCAAACAGCATTTTTACAAAACCACCAGATTGTTTGACTTTTAGTATAGATATTGAACAACGTGAGGCGAAACCTTCTCTCATAACATTTGAGATCTTTTGTTCTCATTTTATTTTATCAAATTCTTTCGTTTTCTTTTTTGTCATTTACTTTTGCTTTGTAATAATTCTCTCTCTTAATAAATACAGCTGGCATTCACTTCCAAAAAAAATCAATCTCCGTTCTTACTGTTTGCTTGGAGGGCCCTTTTGGAAAGTCGATGAAAGACTTGGGTTATCTTTCCTTTGGTTTATGTTGCAATTAAGAGAGAGAAACAGAGAAAAAATTCTTTTTTTTTTAGAACTGGTTTTGGCGTTGAAGAAGGAATTTCTATATGCCATGTTTTGTAATTGTTAAACCCTGGTTATTGTTATTCCCAAGTGTCTACCCTTTGTCTTTCTTGTAATTTTCTTTAAAAAATTGGCTTTTGACTTCCAAATATGGCTTCTGAAATGATTCTCAGATTGGGTTGTTTTTCTCTCGGTTGAATCCTTTTTGGCTGAATACAACTCTCTTTTGCTTCGAGGCTTAAAGTTCGAAAACTGAACACACTTGGTTGAGAAAAGATTTGGGTTTTTGTCAGATGTGTTGAAAAAAAAACTTTATTTTTCTGTAGTGAATCTTGAGCTTGTTTTCTTCCTGGGTTGTCTCAACTCTTGCGGCTTTGATGCATCTTTCACTGTGGAAACCATAGCTCACTGTGCTTCTTTGATCTTAGACAAGAAGAGGAAGAGAAGGGATGGGTCTGAATCTGCTGCTGAAACCAAGCAGAACCCTTCAACTCTCCGGAAACTCCATGAAAACAAGCTAAGAGAAGCTCTCGAAGAGGCGTCTGAAAAAGGGTCTTTGTTCAAGTCCCAGAACATTGTACCCGGTTCCGTAGCCAGTCAAGATGAGAGCTTGGGACGATCAAGATCTCTTGCAAGGCTCAATGTTCAGTGCGAATTCTTGCGAGCCACCGCTCTCGTTGCTGAGCTAACATTCGAGAGTGAAGATTCCATTCCCCGATGTGCGCGAGGCGTTCAATAAGTTCCTCACAATGTACCCAAAGTACCAGTCATCAGAGAAAGTTGATGAATTGAGGTCGAATGAGTACTCACATTTGTCACCCAAGGTATGCCTTGATTATTGTGGATTCGGGCTTTTTTCTTATGTTCAAACTTTGCATTACTTGGAATCCTCTACGTTTAGCTTGTCTCATTTTACTGCAAATTTGAGTAATCATGCACTTTATGGTGGTGCTGAGAAAGGCACAGTGGAGTATGATATAAAGAGCATGATAATGGATTATTTGAACATTCCTGAGCATGAATATGATCTTGTGTTTACTGTAAGTAGAGGGTCCGCGTTTAAGTTGATGACTGATTCTTATCCATTTCAAACGAATAAGAAACTGTTGACGATGTTTGATTACTAGAGTCAGTCGGTGAATTGGAAGGCCCAGAGTGCTCGGGAAAAGGGTGCAAAAGTATGCAGTTCTTGGTTTAAATGGCCAACTCTTAAACTTTGTTCTATTGATTTGAGAAATTGGATTTCAAATAAAAAGAGGAGGAAGGATGGTGCTACTGGTCTTTTCGTTTTCCTGGTGCAGTCTAGAGTAACGGGGGCTAAATATTCGTACCAGTGGATGGCATTGGCTCAGCAGAACAATTGGCATGTCTTGCTTGATGCTGGTTCATTGGGTCCCAAAGACATGGATTCACTTGGCCTGTCATTGTTTCGTCCGGATTTTATTATCACATCATTCTACAGAGTGTTTGGATATGATCCAACTGGCTTTGGATGCCTTCTTATAAAGAAATCAGTAACGGGAAGCCTTCAGAACCAGTCTGGATTGACTGGTTCTGGAATGGTGAAGATTACCCCAGAGTATCCTCTCTATCTTAGTGAGACTGTGGATGATCTTGACGGGTTGGGTGGGATCGACGACAATGAAGTTGCTGCGAATGGTGATAAGCCCTCAGAAAACCGTCCAGGAATGCAGTTGCCTGCCTTTTCTGGTGCCTGCACACCTGCTCAAGTACAGGATGTATTTGAGACGGAAATGGATCAAGATAATAGTACTGACAGAGATGGTGCAAGCACCATATTTGAAGAAACCTAGAGTATTTCTGTCGGAGAAGTGATGAAAAGCCCCATCTTCAGTGAAGATGATTCATTGGACAACTCATTCTGGATCGATTTGGGTCAGAGTCCGTTGGGGTCTGATAGTGCAGGCCAGTTGAATAAACATAAAATATCCTCCCCTTTGCCACCATTTTGGTTTAGTGGAAGGAATAACGACAAGCAGCTCTCTCTGGAGCTAACATCAATGATATATAGCAGCCCGATATATGATAAAGATCTTAACCTGGGGCGTGATGATCATCATGTGTTATCATTTGATGCAGCTGGTCAATAAGTTTCACATGAATCGGACCACGTGAAGGAGATCCCTGGTAAAGCACAATTTGCAGGAATTCATAAGAAGGCTTCAAACTGATCACATCTTCTGGAAATCCAGGAAGAACAGGGAACCAGCAAATCGCTGGCTGTGGAGTCTGTATCTAATTCTTCTGCCTTTCAGAATAATGGCCTATCCAATGACTTAAAATCAGAAATTTCCTCAGAGATTAAAGACAGTGCCATAAGAAGAGAAACTGAAGGTGAATTTAGGTTGCTGGGGAGGAGGGAAGGAAATAAGTATAATGGTAGTAGATTTTTCGGGTTTGAAGATGAACATCCTAGTAGGGGAAGAAGGGTCTCCTTTAGCATAGAGGATAGTCATAAAGAGCACACGAGTCGTAATTTGGAGCCAGGAGAAGCATCCGGGAACAGCCTTGTTAATGAAGACTTCACCAGTGATGGAGAATATTGTGATGGGCAAGATTGGGACAGGAGGGAGCCTGAGATAACTTGTCGGCATCTTGATCACATTAATATGTTGGGACTCAATAAAACCACTCTTAGATTACGTTTTTTGATTAATTGGCTTGTAACTTCGTTACTGCAGCTCAAGTTACCTAATTCAGATGGAGATGGCAGAGGGAATCTTGTTCAAATTTATGGCCCAAAAACAAGTATGAAACGGGTGCAGCAGTGGCTTTCAATGTGAGGGATCGAAACCGGGGATCAATCCAGAGGTTGTACTGAAGTTGGCTGAAAGGGAAGGCATCTCTCTTGGTATTGATTTCCTCAATCACATGAATACTAGATAGCCCACGACAACAACGAACGACTTCAAACGTTGAGGATACAACTCTGTGCAGACCGAAGAAAAATGGTCAACATAATAGGAAGAGTGGGTTCATTAGAGTTGAAGTCGTTACAGCTTCACTCGGCTTCCTTACTAATTTTGAGGACGTCTATAAGTTGTGGGCCTTTGTGGCAAAGTTCCTTAACCCGGATTTCATCAGAGAGGGTACACTCCCAACGGTCACAGAAGAATCCGAGTCATAACTTCTGAAATTTAGCAATTCAAAACCATTTGTTAAATAATATCTGGTCCAAGCAGGTGAATATTTCAACTTATTTCTCTTGCTGCTTGAGTTTTTCTCCTTTTGGGTTGCTCTCATACAGTTAGTTTCAGAAATATGTACACTATTCGATCTTACACTGACCTTGAACTCGAAGCAGTGTACAAGGACATAACTATAACAATTTTAGAATCTATTTGGGAGGCCTCTGGTGAGTCATATTGACATGCATATGTGATATGTCCATATTTGTGAATTTGTTGCTAGCGAACCATTTTGCTTTCGATTTTAGTCTTTAAAGAAACTTGAAAGTGCTTTTCCTGCTAGACTTTGGTTATGTTTTGGTGTGAAACTACAATGCATGCAAGTGTTGGGAAATCTCCAGGGCAGATCCTGGTGATTAAAACATATCACTTAAATTATAATAAAAATATTAACATCATTAAAATATAATTTATTACTTAATAATTTATTGTGGACTGATTTCAATTGATAACGGCTACAATTTAATAAGTAATAATCAATAACGAAAATAATAATCTTTATCGTAATTAAAATAATTATATTCTATAATAATTTATACACATTTTAAAAAAATTATAATTATGATCCTAATATTATCTATTACATCTGCTATTGTCATAAACACAATATAATCAAAGATACAGTTATAGTCGCAATCTAAACATCTTTGTCACCCTCTTACCTTTATCCTCAACTGCAACAGCAGTGAGAGTGAGCCGCCGCCATAGCACCCAGTTTCAAGTACCCCACCCATGTCTCGAGCCATGGTATGCATCTCTTTGTTACTTTGAGTCGGCCAACCTCATAATAACAATATCCGTCTCTATTCGCCACCGGTTTGGAGAACAATACCTCCCAAAAAACCATGGGGGGCATTGAGCAAAACAAAATACCAGAAAACGGGCCAAATATCACCGAACTATTCAACCCAATCTTTGCCTATAAATAAATACAGCTAGCCCTCATTTGTCATCAATTATCTTCACACATCACTCTCCTTTTTCACCTTTAATTTCTTCTCAAGCACGAGAATGGAATTCATGGTTTCCAAAGCTCAGGGATACGTTAATTATAGCCCGGAAGAAAACGATGGTACTGATCAAGCAGTCATTAACGGAGTCAGCAGGCAGCTTCAGATAAAAGCCTCAGCTCGATCTTCACCTGAAGGCCTCGACAAGGGAGTTGTTCTGAGGCGTATCCGTTACCACAAGTGTAAAAGCAAAGTGCAAAGCGCTTTTCAGGCTCTGGTTCAAAGCTCCGGACAAGGTCAAGAGAAGTTGATGGAAATGGGCGATGCCTTCACTTCCCCCTGAAATGAAACCCCATGGGAGTGGGACTAAAAATGCTTATGTGAGCTTGACGATGAACAAGACTACTTAAAACTTACTCTCTTCTTGAACAGTCTAAGGCTCACAGTCCAATGAGAGCTTGATAGTATTGTACTATTTCTCTCTTCAATTCTAGGAGAAGCACCGTGTATATTTATTGCACTTTTGACTCTTTTCTTTGTACCTTTAACTGGCTTGGTTCGCAGAAAAATTAGAATAAATTATACTTATAATCATTTAATTATTATTTTATTTCATCATTATTTTTTCAATTTTTTTAAATTAGATTATTCTAGTTATATAATTATTGTCAATTAAATCATTCGACGTTAATATTTTGATGAAAGTGATGATGTGACTGTTAATATTATAAATTGATATAATTATTATTTTATTTTTATTATTTATATATTTTATCAATTTAATTTTAATTTAATTCAAAAAATTAATACATGTGAATATATTATTGTAATGCATGTAAAATGGAACATCAAGTATTATTATAAAATGAAACCAAATTCGAAATTAATGATGTGTTAAACTATTTAAAGTATCAGAAAAATTAATTGAATTTTAAAGGTATCCGTCGAAATAAATATTATAATAAAATTATGATTAATGTTATTTTTTGATCACTCACCGTTAAAAGATTAATAGAACTGATGACATGTCATTTTTTTCTAATAATGACACGATATTATCTTATGTTAACACGTCAACATCACCGTTAAATTTTTAAAGGTGGGTGACCAAAATAAAACCAAAACTAAACTATAGTGATGATTTTGAAAAAAATAGTCGGATGACCAAAACGGAACAAAAGTTATAGTAGGAGTACTAAGCTTATAGTTTACCCAAAAATAATAAAAAAAAAGTCTGACGATTGGACTTGGATTGGGCCACAGCCTCACAACTTACAGCGGGGGCAAGAAACGAGCCCAAGAAGTAGGAAAATTACGAAACCCTAACCCTAAATCACTTCTCGACTATATAATAAACCCAGAAGCAATTGTCGTCGAAGCCTTGCATTCTTTTTTCTCCTCAAATCTGAGGAATCTTCACCGTTTTCGGAGTTTTCCATTAAACAGAAAGATTATGATTTCCCGGCGACGATCGAATACGATGACGAGTCCCATTTTCCATTCTTTCAAATCGTGATGACAATTCGAGGCATTTGTCTGAGAGAAATCCATTTTCTTTATTTTAAAAAAGTGTCTGATTGTGTGATTTTTGAAAATAATTATTATCTTACACTTCATGATCCTACAATCTCCTCAATAATTAACTTACAAAATTAATCCTTCTATCTACTTTAATTTGGAGGAAATTAAGCAAGGAAATAAATGATTTGAAGGCAATACAAATATTTATTTTACAATTTAAAGTGATCATAGATAATATTTACTTGAAATTATTTTTAGTTATTAATTATATACACACGTTTTATAAATTTTTTTACTTAAATTTAAAATATCTATAAAGACCAACGCTCATTTCTATTATTGAACCGGTTTGAGTTTGAATGTAGTTTTGAATATTAAAAGGCTCTATCTTTCTTTGTTCTTAAGATAAGTGATCAGGCTATTTCGATTGTTGGTAATGTGGCTGGTCATAGAATGGTTATTACTGCTGTATATGGCAGTAACACAGTCTGGTTAGGAGAGGTCTTTGGGCTCATCTTAAGAGTTTGGAATCTGTTAAAGGAATTGAACAGAAGTTATTATTCTGACATTTCTGGCAGAGTTGCTGCAAAAAGGGCTGAGCTTGAATCTATTCAGCTTTTTAATCTTGTCCATGTGAATCAAAGGAGGCTGGAGGAGGAGAGCAAACTTAGAGATGATCTTGTAGCTCTTGAGGATGTTGAATCTGAATTTTATAAACAAAGAGCCAAGGTTCACTGGCTACAAGAAGGTGATATGAACATCGGTTTTTCCATCAAGAGTAGAAAGTAAATAAGAAGAGGAACACTATTAAGATTATTAAAGATGATAGTGGGATTTATCATGAATCTTTTGAGAGTATGGCAGTTGTTCTTGAGGAATTTTTTAAGGATCTTATTGGAACTACTGACCCTAGTGTGCAGGGATGTTCTGCTGAGTGGCTTAAATCTGTCTTGACTTATTCCCTTCCCCCTGGTGCTGCTGATGGTCTTACTTCTGAGATCACTAATGCTGAGATTAAAGATGCATTGTTTAGACAAGGAAACAATAAAAGTCCGAGTCCTGATGGTTACACCCCTTGGTTCTTTAAGGTTGCATGGGACATTGTATGTAATGATTTCTTGAAGGCTGTAAGGTACTTTTTTCAAACTTCAATCATCTTGCCTGCTTTCAATGCCACTGTCCTAGTCTTAGCTCCTAAATCCTTAAATGTATGCATGGCTAAGGGTTTTAGGCCTATCTCATGTTGCTATGTGTTTTACAAGACCATCACTAGAATTTTGGTTTCTAGATTAGCTTTATTTTTCCCTGACATGATATCCCTTAACCAGTCAGTATTTGTTAAGGGTAGAAACATAGCTGATAACACTTTGCTTGCCCAAGAAACTGTAAAGGGATACTCTAGGAAGAATTTATCTCCTAGATGCACTATTAAAGTTGACTTGCATAAGGCCTTTGATTCAATTGGTTGGGATTTCTTGATGACTGTTTTAGAAGCTATGGGTTTACCTGAGGTTTTTTGTGGATGGATAAAAGCTTGCATCACTACTCCTCGCTATTCAATTTCTTTGAATGGGAGCTTGGTGGGGTTTTTTAAGGGTGCAAAGGGGGTAAGGCAGGGGGATCCTCTATCCCCTTATCTCTTTGTTATCGTTATGAATGTTCTATCTACCCTTCTGGATGCTGTAGCAATGAATGGTGTGTTCAAATTTCACCCTAAGTGCAAAAGAATTCCCCTCACTCATCTTTGTTTTGCTGATGATTTGTTATTGTTTTGCCATGGGTCTTTGGATGCTATATTGGGAGTAGTTAGTACGCTTGAAAAGTTTTATGAGATCTCAGGTCTTAAGTTGAATGCTTTAAAGTCTGAGTTGTTTGCTTGTGGAGTGGCTAGGGATGAGCTTGAAGTGATCCAGAGTCTACTGGTTTTAAGTTAGGTCAGCTTCCTGTTAGATACCTTGGGATACCCTTGGTCACTCGAAAGCTCTCAAGTAAGGACTGTTCTGCCTTGCTTGTGAAAATCAAAGGTAGAATTGACAATTGGTCTAGTAGGAAACTCAGCTTTGGTGGTAGATTGCAGCTTGTGAAGTCTGTCATTTTCAGTATATTTGGTTACTGGTGCAGGCATGTCATTCTGCCTAAAGGGGTTATGAGGGATATTGAGAAAATTTGCTTGAGGTTCTTTTGAAAGGGCAGTGATACTTCAGCAAGAGGGGCTAGAGTTAGCTGGAATCAGATTTGCACCCTTAAATCTGAGGGTGGTTTGGGTCTTAGGAAGCTGGCTGATTGGAGCAAGGCTTGTTGTTTCATGCTTTTTAAAAACATTCTTGTTGGGGAGGGGTCCTTATGGATTGCCTGGGTAAAATCTTACTGTTTTAAATCAGTACACTACTGGGAGGTTGATAGTAAAGCTCATTTCAGTTGGACTCTCTGCAAGCTGATCAAAATGAGAGAGGAAGCTAGAAGACTTTTCTGTTCTATGGCCAATCTGTCACAGATTAAGGGCAGTTGGATTTGGGAAAATATTAGAAAAATGAGAGAAAAGGTTGACTGGCATCGGCTGATCTGGTTCCCAGCTCATGTTCCTAAATTCTCTGTGGTTTCTTGGATGGTGATGCTGGATAGACTGACAACAAAGGACAGACTTAGGCGTTTTGGTATTGTGACTGATAATTTATGTGGTCTGTGTGGGGCTAGTCAGGAAACTCGTAACCATCTGTTCCTGGAATGCTCCTATTCTTGTGAGGTTTGGCGCTCCATTATGAACTTTTGTGGTTTGCATTACCAACTTCCGAGTTACTGGGATGATGCTATACGCTGGATGGTCCTGAACTTTAAAGGTAAATCCCTCTTGATTTATATTCTCAAGTTAGCTTGGACTAGTTTTGTCTACTTTATCTGGGAGGAGCGAAATCACAGATGTTTTAGAGGAGTGACTCGCTCGACTGACTTAATTGTAAATAGAATTAGTGAGACTGTTAGAATCAAGCTTCATAGATGTCATATGAATAGGTCTGATGCTGTAAATAGTCAGTTGTGCCTCAATTGGGGGCTGATATTGTAGTCATATTGTTCTTTGTAGCAGCCCTGCTGCTTTCTTTTGGATGAATAAAATTTTACTTATCCAAAAAAAAATGTTGGATTTGATTTTTAGTCAAATTTTAATCTAGTCCCTACAATATGTAGAAATTATAGATTTAATTCTTATACTTCTTGAATTGTAATATTTCAATTTTGATTTAAATAATAATAATATTAACTTTTAGTTTAAATTCTGGGCGTTTTTCTCAAAAAATCACCGGTGACTGGTATATTTACTAATCTAACACGGTCAGACTATATTTCCCGATCTAACACCCTTTGTAGTAAGACGCGCCCCCTGCAGCGCGCTATACGCTGATTTGGTGCCACGTGGGGTAAGGCGCGCCCCCTGCGACGCGCCTTATGCTGACATGGATACACGTGTGAACGGGCGGGGGTAATTTGGTAATTAAGGATATAGCGCGACGCAGGGGCCGCGCCTTACCCGTGATTCTGACACGCGTCAGAAAGGCGCGGTCACTGTCCCGCGCTATACCCCTACCCGTTCACACCCACCATCCTTCCCTATAAATACCCCATTCTTAATCACTTTCATCACACCAAATCCTCTCTCAACCTCTCTCAAATACTTTTATATTCTCTTATTAAGGTATATTTTATTATATTTAGTATTTTTTAGTAATTTATTTAATTATTTTAATTGTTTAATATTTTATTTAATTAATTTTTTTTGCAGATATAAAATGGAATGCGGTCTACTTTGGTTGGATGAAAATCATATATCTCAACACTTTGATGATACGATAACATTTTAACGTTTTAATTTAATTAATTAATTAATTAATTAATGCATTATTATTAGTTTAAAAATTAATTTGTGTAATTATTTATATTTTAGGAGAAAGACCGTATATTAAATCCTTTTATTAGGAACCTTAAGTTAGTTATATTTACTCGTGTAATGCCGTATTTAGTAGAGGTTGGATTTGGTCACCTAGGTAGATATCAAAGTCACTGTAAGATAGAACCAGACCTTATTTCTGCCTTAGTAGAGCAGTGGAGGCCGGAGACCCACACATTCCATCTTCCGTGCGGAGAGTGCACGATCACGCTTGAGGATGTTTCTATGCATGGGGTTTTCGGTGGATGAAGGGTGATATCAGGGATAACTTCCGGTTATTGGACTACTTTGTGCCGGGTTAGTCTAGGATGTGTCCCGAAAAATTTTAATGGTGGACGGATACCGTTAAATTGGTTAGATGCCAATTTTCGGGAATTGAGCGAGGACACGTCTGACGATGTAGTTAAACAGTATGCACAGGCATGCATACTGCAGCTGATAGGAGGGTTGCTGATGTCGGACCAATCGCGCAACCAAGTTTACTGTATGTGGTTGCAACATCTTGGCGACTTTCATCTGGCCGGATCACTCAGTTGAGGCTCGGCAATTTTGGCTTGCCTGTACAGGGAGATGTGTCGAGCCATTGACTAAAGGCGTAATGCTATCGGCGGATGTCTCCTGATGTTGTAGTCTTGAGCATGGTATCGATTGCCCTTTTTATGTCCCGTTGTCAAGAACCCAGTCGTATTTCCGCTACTCCTGAGGTAATTATAAAATTGATTTTGTATATTAATAATTTTATACAGTGAATAAGAAATTATTTTTCTTAAATAGGTGGTCTACTGATAGGAAAAATCATCAGGAGCTACCTGATGATTTAGAAAAAATTAGGGTGTTAATCGATCAGAAGGCTGGTACACAGGTATGAATTTTAATGTTTAAAAATCGATTTTAGATTATAGTTATAAAAGCTTTGCAAAAAACGCCCCCAAACGAAAATATGTAGTCTTTACCAAAGTCGCTACTGGTAAGTGACGTGCACCCTTTAAAGTTGAATTGATTGCCTCTGCCAAATTGGTCGTCATGTGTCTATATCGATATCCACCATCATATGCGTTTGTCCACATTTCTTTATCGATGAGGCTGATGTAATCGTATCCTTCCTCGTTCTTCGCCCGCAAATCTTGAAGCATTGATTCAAACGTTCGAGGAAGTAGTTTGTAACCTGATCAAAAAATGTATAACTTACTAACTTGCTTTCTTTGCAAAATTAAAACGATCGAAAGAAAACAAACTACATTAGTTTTACTTACCCATGCGCACAATTAATTGACGCTCATAATTCTTCTTGTACCTTCCATGGTAGTTCGCAGCAATGTGTCAGAGACAATACCTATGTTGAACAAAGGGTGGTTGCCACATTGGACCCAAAGACTCCATTGCTGCTTTGATCCCAGCTCCGCGATCTGAAATGACACAGATGTTTTCCCTCGTGATAACACGTGCACGTAAATTTTGGAGGAAAAAAACCCAAGAATCTGTATCTTCTCATTCGACAAGAGAAAAAGCAACTGGAAGAATGTTGCGATTGCCATCTTGGATAACTGTCAATAATAAAACTTGCTTGTATTTTCCATACAAGAAAGTCTCGTCGATCTGGACCACAGGCTTGCAGTATTTGACAGCATTAACGCATTGTGGGTAAGTCCAAAAAACCCGGTAGAATTGGCATCGATCGCGGAGAACTCGATCATTATGGTATGCATAGGAGGTTTTGAAGTCCACAATTGTCCCAGGATTCAACCTCCGCACCAACCTAAACCGGCCTGGAAGTTCGTTGTAAGATGCATCTTATTCGCCATGAAGTTTGACAATGGCATTTTATTTTGCCAACCAAGCTTTTTTATATGAGACAGTGTACTCATACTGCGATTGTATAGCTGAAATCAATACAGCAACAACTATATGAGAGCTTGCTTTTACTATGTGCATGATGGCTTGACATATCACTTCAGAGTCCAAGTTGGGATGATCTTGGTTGACCCCTCCAGCACAACATGTGTGAGGACCGTTGTATATTGTTAGTTCCCATCTGATATTTTTCCTCTTCCTCTTCGATACACGAACCATCCAATTGCATTTGTTTTCGCGTCTGGTACAGTAGCATATCGATATTTAGGTCGAAGAACCTACTACTTGCACGTCTTCCCCTTGAACTGGAAGGCATATCGACATTCAGATCGGAAAAGCTCGCAGTCGAATGCCTCCCCCTGGAGCTTGAAGTCATCGTGTCAAATGGAAACTGCACAGATGGTTGTGTCGATGTCATCTCCATATTAAGGTCAAACAGATTTGCAGATGAATGCTTTCCCCTTGAACTTGACGCGATGTTGCCATACGAATTGTTCGTCGACTCACCTCGGTACATATCGTAAGGAGTTGCGGATAAATGTCTCCCCATTATGGCATTAAAATCATTACACATTACTGTCGTCGGGCTGTCAACTTGTTCAGCCAGCCCATAGTGGGAGCTTAATGATTAACCCTGAACGACACACACTTGAATAAAATTTGCATACATCTCAATATCGGCGTCTGAATAATTACTTTGAGCTTCAACCATCATTTCAACATCATCATTGTTCAAAAGTTCAAACGTTGTATAAGTTAATGGCAACAATGATGTTGGAAATCTGTACTGCAACGACGACATTCTTCTGCTACTTCCAACATGAATCTTCCTCAAAATATTCGTTATCAGCTCCTCAAGAGTTATTTTTCTCTTCAATGATATTTTAACACGCTCATTTGATACGAAAACAACGCCGATTTCATCTTCTCGAATTTCACCATCATAATAAACAATAGCTGAAAATCGCGTCATTCTTTGAGTTTAAAAGTGCGGCAATATTATATCTGCAAAAAAAAACAACTGAAACAATGCTGATTAAATAAATAATATATGAACGAAAATATAACAGAATTAAATTTTTACACATAAACATAAATAATTTAAATAATATAATTTTATATTATTACCTGTACCACAAAACTATTTCGACGTATATTCTCGCTTTCTAATTTTTCAAACATAGAAATTAATTGACAACAATTTGTATAATATTTTTTTTCAAATAATCATAATAAACAATAAATATAATAAAAAAATTATCACAAAATTACCTTATAACGAAAAATCGCACGAACTTCTGAATAAAATATGAGAAAATTGTCAGAATTATTAACTCGTTGACGGAATTGTTGTATTAATTTATAAGTTAAGAGGAGAGATGTGAGGAACTTAACCCGATGAGAAGGATATTTATAGCCGAGAAAAGTTGTAACAATTATACATGGCGCAGTACCTGCCCCGCGCTATATATAATTATAAAGGTCAGGCACGGCCTCTGACCCGCGCTATACCCTACATGGCGTAAGGCGCGCCCTAGGGGCCGCGCTATACCCACGTGTATCCATGTCAACATAAGGCGCGTCGCAGGGGGCACCTTACCCCACGTAGCTCCAAATCAGCGTATAGCGAGCTGCAGGGGGTGCGCCTTACTGCAAAAGGTATTAGATCGGGAAATATAATCTGACCGATGTTATATCATATATATACCGATCACCGATGATTTTTTTTTTTAAAAACGCCTAAATTCTGCTATTAGTCTCCACCAAAACTTATATGGCCCAAAAGCCATTGAAATCTTGAGTTTCTCCACATCAACAAACAGTATCTTTTATCCCATTAACGTTGCTCTCTGTATTTCATTCCACCAATAGAATCACCCCTTATCCGATCCCCTTGTCTTACACCCAAATATTTCCCACAAATATAAGTTTCTCCGCATAAATACAGGGGAAAAATAGTATTCTTTTTCCTGCAATTTTTTTTTACAATGGCAGCCTCGCTACAAGCAGCAGCAACCCTCATGCAACCGGCTAAGGTCGGTGTCTGCAGCGCAGGTCCTCCCCCAGCGTTTCCAAGGCCTTTGGTTTGGAGCCTGCTGGTTCTAGGCTCGCTTGCTCTTTGCAAACCGACTTTAAAGAATTGGCTCGAAAGTGCGTTGATGCTACCAAGATTGCTGGTTTCGCTCTTGCCACTTCTGCTCTTGTTGTCTCGGTATAGTTATTTTCACTTTGTGTTTTATTTTAATAATCTGGATTGATTATACGACGGT